TGAGATATATGATTTACGAACATTTTCTCCCAGTCTATGGTTTATCTTTTTATCATCATCATCTTCTTATCTTCTTAGTAAGGTCTTTTCCAAACATTTTTTAATTTTGATGAAGTCAAATCTACTGATTTCTTTTGTGGGTTGCACCCATGGTGTCATGCTGAAGATTCTTCCCAAGTGGTTGTATAAAAAAGAATTTTTTAAAAAGATTTTATTTATTTACTTATTTGAGAGAGTACAAGCAGGGCTAGGGTCAGAGGGAGAGGAATAGGGAGAAGCAGACTCCCCGCTGAGCAGAGAGCCTGATGTGGGGCTCAATCTCAGGACCCTAAGATCATGACCTGAGTCAAAGGCAAAGGCTTAACCAACTGAGGCACCCAGGCAAACACCCAAAAAAGAATTTTCAACCATTTTTTTCACCTTACATGTGTTTAATACTGTGTTAGAGGCTGAGAGAGATTCACAGATGTAGAAGAAGAGTTGTGCTCAAGGGATTTTCAGTTAAGTTTAGACAAGCAAACAATTAACAGCAGAAGATGGTAGGTCATTATGAGTTATGTAAGTATTGAAAAGGCTATGGGTAGGAGGAGTTGAGTTCATGGGAGGGAACCTCATCTTACATTTGAAATAGCAGGGAAGTCTTCATGGAGGAGGTGGCATTTGAGCCTTAAGGATATGAACAGTTGAAATAGGGGCAGAGGAGGAAATACCAAGAAGAAAGAATTGCGTAAGTGAAGAAACAGGGGTAGGACAGAAAAGTCAACATCAAGAAGTGGGCTGGGGTGGGGAGGCTAAAGGTTAGATGAGTTCACTTTTAGATATACAGGACTTGAAGACCAGCAAGATTGATGAGGAGATGTCCAACAGGTAGTTGGAGATGTGAGATTAAATTTATACAATGGAGGGGCGCCTGGGTGGCTCAGTGGGTTAAGCCTCTGCCTTCAGCTCAGGTCATGGTCTCAGGGTCCTGGAATCAAGCCCCGCATCGGGCTCTCCACTCAACAGGGAGACTGCTTGCCCTCCCCACCCTCCCGCCTGCCTCTCTGCCTACTTGTGATCGCTCTCTGTCAAATAAATAAATAAAATCTTAAAAAAACATTAAGTTGGACATTGGAAATAAGGATTTGAGCATCATCAGCATAGGTCAGGCCTTTTGTTATACACCCCACAGCAATCTGTACTCTCCTTCAAAGCACTTGTCACAGTGATAATTAATAATTCACTGTGTAATTAGTTGTTTAATCTCTATTTGTCTTGTTAGGATTCCAGTCTCATGAAGAGAGTCCATATCTGCCTTATATGTTGGACCTAGTCCAGTGCCTTGCACTCAGAGAAATATTTGCTGAACGAATAAAGAGATAGTTCTAATAGCCACCATTTATTGAGCAGGCACATGGCAGACACAGTATACCAATTCTATATATATAATCTCATTTAAACCTCACGGAAATTTTATGAGGGGCAGGTCAAGGCTTCTCAAAACTAAATTCCAGGGTCTGAGGTAAGGCCCAAGAATCTGAATTGAAGCTCCCAGTGAGTTCTAATGAGCAGTCAGGCTTGGAAACCACTCAGGTGCATAGTTCCATTGAAATGGTACAGATAAAGAAACTAAGGTTCAGCAAGTAACAGTGATTTATTCAAAGTCCCATGGCTAGAAAGAGCCATGATACAAAAGTAGATCCCTTAGGGAGAGAATTTTACCACAAGCTTCCTTGCCTCTGTGAGACATAAGATCTGGAAAAAGAGTTTATGAAGGAAGAGCAGAAGGCCAGAAACTGGATCTTTGAAACCAAGGTGAGTAGTGAGCACTGCCAAATGCCACAGAGGGGCCACAGAGGATGTGGCATGGGGGAGGACCAGGGGATGCCTAGTCCATGAGTCTGCAGCGCCTGGGTCTGACATTACAGCAAGATCAAGATATGGACTTTGCATAGGGCAGGGCACTCCCTCAAGAAACCTGGCCAGCTGGAAGAAATTGTCGTTTGAGGCTCAGCCAAGATCACTTCTTGGTAATAGAGCTTTGTGCTAAAAATATTAAAGCCAAACATCTGGGCTATGGGGTAGTATGCCAAGAAAAGGGAGGTACACAAGCCCCATGGGGGAATCTCAGTTTGGAATCAAAGATCGACTGTTTAGAAATTACAAAATGCAGCCCACTCTAGATTTTCCATGCCACTACCCCTTTGTTGGATTATTCAGGCCTTTTGCCTCACCTCTGCTTTGGGTGTGTTTTACCTTTGGGGTACTGCTTCTATTGGAGGATGGAAAGAGAAAGAAAGGTAAAACTCCAACTAGGACATTTTGCTGATATTTAGTTATTCAGTCCTGAATAATAGAGGAGTTATACTCATGAGTTATTCTCAGTTGAAATGAGACTGGAACTAGAGCCCAGACGATCTAGTTTACTGCAGCTATTTCTACTCACCACGCGGTCATGCTGGCCTCAGGTACCCCAGTCAAGGTTGGCTGTATTATCTTTGCCAACGGGCAGCCTCAAGGCCTGTGCAACGACATGGTGGACAGTTTCCTGCAATCCCATCACTAACCCCAATTCATACCCTTTTGATGGCAGATGGGAAGCAATGTCCCTTTATTTGAAAGAGGACAATGATGACGAGAATCCCTTATACCCATACAGCTTACAAAGCACCTTCACGCGCATCACTTCAATCTTTCATGACCCTGGGAAGGAGGTGTTGTTATTCCTACAAGCTTGGTAAGTGCAGAAGCCACAATTCAAACCCATCACCCTGATTCTTTGAATTATAAAACAAGCTGCTACTTTGTTATTGGCCAAAACTCTTCGGAAGCCCACTATTATGGTTACACTGGCTGCATGGAAATTAATGAGACAAGAGCCTCTTTGCCGTAAGAAGTAGAATTACATAGTGAGGAAACAATGTATGTTTGCTTGCTAGCTACCTTGTGCAGAGTGCTGCAGCTGAGCCCTGGTTTCTGATCTTTAAGATGGGGGTAAAGGGACACCCTGAAGAGTGGCCAGAAGGAAACAAACCTATATACAAAAGTCCTGGCACAATGGCCAGCAGAGAGTAATCACTCAGGAGTGTTAGCTAGCACTCTTCTGTCCTTCACCTCACCAGGTATTTCTGAGCCCAGTGAACACAGAATTAAGCTCAGATCTTGGTCTGTGATAAGGAACCAGGGGGGACAGGCTGTGGCATGGCCTGACCATCTTCCACGACATCAAGCATAAAGCCAAGAAGTATATTCCAAAGTCCCATAGGACTCCTATTCTCCCTTCCTCTAGTGGCCTGTCTCAGGTACTATTTCCCTGTGTGAAGTTAAAACTTGTCCTAGATCATGATCTCAGGGTCCTGGGATCGAGCCCCACTTTGGGCTCTCTGCTCGCAGGGAGCCTGCTTCCTCCTCTCTCTCTCTCTGCCTGCCTCTCTGCCTTCTTTTGATCTCCGTCGGTCAAATAAATAAATAAAATCTTAAAAAAAAAAAAAAAAACTTGTCCTAGAACTACATCCTTGAGATTCCAAATCAAAAAGGACTTCAGTCTGGAATTCTGGAGTCTACTAAATGTTCTTCCTAACTCCCTCTCCTAAGCCATAGCCACATCGGGAGAGATAGGATAAGCTAGAAGGTGAGTGCACACTACAGACCCTACACTGACTCCTCCAAGCCTTCATCTCTCCAGATCCCGGTCTTTGACAACACCCACCTCCACCCTGTGTTTCGAACTAGGCCTGCCCTGTGGCCAGCACTCTTCCCCACTCCTGGAGTTTAACGCCTCTTTTGTTCAAAGAGAAATGTCCCCAGGAAGGGGCACCCCTAAACCAGAACAGCATTTACACAACCTGAAATCGCTAATACCTACAGGACCACATAGGTAAACTAAATGAATTAAGAAGGTGGGTGTTAAGGACGCCTGGGTGGCTCAGTCAGTTAAGCCGCTGCCTTCCGCTCAGGTCATGATCCCAGCGTACTGGGATCGAGTCCCAATCGGGGTCCTTCCTCAGAAGGGAGCCTGCTTTTCTCTCCGCCTCTGCCTGCCACTCTGCCTGCTTGTGTGCTCTCTTGCGCGCGCGCGCTCTCTCTCTGACAAATAAGTAAATAAATAAATAATCCTAAAAAAAAAGAAGAAGAAGAAGGTGGGCGTTATTAAATGGAGAGTGCTGGGGGCTGTGGTGAACCCATCCTCATCGGGAGCTCCCGGGGCGGGTATGAGCATACAGGCCACCTCCCAGAAAAACCCTAACTCAGGGTGGAGGCAAGGAGGACAGGGTCAAGGCAAGCGACAGAGCCGCGTGGTCTGCGGATGGGAAACCCGCTTACTTATACAAATGTCTGAAGCACTTCAGTTTTGCCCACTACAACGTTCCAGCTCTTTCCCGCGCGTCCTTCCACTATCTGCAACTCAGGCTCGTGTTCTTTATCCATCTCCCATCTTTTCCAGGGCGTCACAAGCATTCCACCCAGCCACCCGCCCTGGGCGCTTCCGAGAGCTGCAGAGGAACAGCTGATGAGATGATCTCTGACGTAGACCCACTCTACCCCCTGGGAACCCCGAACTAGCTGAGGAAAGGGACAAAGCCTGAGGGAGGAGACAAAGTCCCCATTCTAACTGAAAAAAAACAGGGCCTCACCCTCAGGAGCTCCCGGGGAGGGATGGGCGGGCCTACGGGACCCCTCCCAGAAAACCCTAGCTCTGGGTGGGCTAAAGGTGGCAAGGAGAACAGGGTCAAGGGCAGCGACATAGCCGGGTCATCTGCGGATGGGAAACCCCAGTCGTTTAGACACCCCTCCGCTCAAGTCACTCCCAAACCAGACAATTCTTGGGGAGGAGTGCCGCGGGCAGGGAGCGGCTTCTACGCAAATCGCTTTGTCTCCGCGTCCTAGGTCCGCCGCGCGCGCAGCTGCAGTTGTCACTGCGCTCCCCCACCCCCCGCCCGCTTCTGGATGCCCCCCTTCCCTCTCTCCACCAGACCCGGAGCAGGAGCTCCGCCCCCAACGCGCCGCCCCAGCCCCGGCGCTTTAAAACCCGGTGCACACCGCCCAGCCGCGCCCCGTCTGGCGCACCTCTTCTCTCCTCTGTATCTTCAGCCGCAGCTGCTCTCCCGGCCCTGGTCCCGGCACCATGAGCTTCGGCTCGGAGCACTACCTGTGCGCCTCCTCCTCCTACCGCAAGGTGTTTGGAGATGGCTCTCGTCTGTCCTCGCGCCTCTCCAGCGCCGGTGGCGCGGGTAGCTTCCGCTCGCAGTCGCTGTCCCGCTGCAATGTGGCCTCCTCGGCCCCGTGCTCCTCGGCCTCGTCGCTTGGCCTGGGCCTGGCCTACCGCCGGCCCCCTGCGTCCGACGGGCTCGACCTGAGTCAGGCGGCAGCGCGCACCAACGAGTACAAGATTATCCGCACCAACGAGAAGGAGCAGCTGCAGGGCCTCAACGACCGCTTCGCCGTGTTCATCGAGAAGGTGCACCAGCTGGAGACGCAGAACCGCGCGCTCGAGGCCGAGCTGGCGGCGCTGCGGCAGCGCCACGCCGAACCGTCGCGCGTTGGCGAGCTCTTCCAGCGCGAGCTGCGCGACCTGCGCGCGCAGCTGGAGGAGGCGAGCTCGGCGCGCGCGCAAGCCCTGCTGGAGCGCGACGGGCTGGCGGAGGAGGTGCAGCGGCTTCGGGCGCGCTGCGAGGAGGAGAGTCGAGGGCGAGAAGGCGCCGAGCGCGCGCTGAAGGCGCAGCAGCGCGACGTGGACGGTGCCACGCTGGCCCGCCTGGACCTGGAGAAGAAGGTGGAGTCGCTGCTAGACGAGTTGGCCTTTGTGCGCCAGGTGCACGACGAGGAGGTGGCCGAGCTGCTGGCCACGCTGCAGGCATCGTCGCAGGCCGCGGCCGAGGTGGACGTGGCTGTGGCCAAACCAGACCTGAGTTCGGCGCTGAGGGAGATCCGCGCCCAGTATGAGTCCCTGGCTGCCAAGAACCTCCAGTCAGCCGAGGAGTGGTACAAGTCCAAGTTTGCCAACCTGAACGAGCAGGCAGCGCGCAGCACGGAGGCCATCCGGGCAAGCCGCGAGGAGATTCACGAGTACAGGCGTCAGCTGCAGGCACGCACCATCGAGATTGAGGGGCTGCGTGGGGCCAATGAGTCCTTGGAAAGGCAGATCCTGGAACTGGAGGAGCGGCACAGTGCAGAGGTGGCTAGCTACCAGGTAAGGGCTGAAACGCTCCAAAGGGAGGGGCGCCCTGACCTCTCCCCCACCTACCTATGCCTTCCCACACAATTGGGCCCTTAGGAACTGAGAGGAACGGGAGTGGGTGGGTGGGTGGAGGAAGGACCCCAACTGGAGGTGCTGACAAACAAAAGCCCAGGAGCCTACACTATTCATTCTAGAGTCCTGGTCACCCTCTTTCCTTGCCCGTCAAATCCCCGTCCGAGCCCTTTTAGAAAAAACCCTTAAGCTTATGTTTTTCAGAATCCAGAAATCTAATTTATTCCTCTCTGTCCACAAGTGGACATAAACATCTTGGTGACCTGAAGAACAGTCCCCCACCCAAAGTAGGAGTGAACCCAATGCAGTTGGGATACAGTCTCTCATGTTGGCAGTGCTGTCTCAGCTGTGTGGATTGTTGGGTTGACTTTGGAAGGCTTTCTGTGCGCCCGGAATTGATATTTATGGAGTATGGTCTGCGCTAGAGAGAAGAATGGTGGACTGACTATGGTATGTGCTAGGGAGAAGAATGCTGGATCCTTCTGGGAAGGGTTTCTGCCCAATCATTTTCTTGAGTTTTGCCTTCAAAAGAGTAGAGATTGGGAGCCAAGGAGCTGAGTGATTGGGCTAGTTACAACCGCCCTTCTCTACCCTCTTTCCCTTCCAAGACAGACAGACAGACAGACACACACACACACACACACACACACACACACACACACACGAGTTTCCTTGTCGATCTGCAGCTGGTATTTCTTCCTAAAGAAAGCTTTATACCACTTAGCAAATAGGAATTGCATGGGCGCTGTCCGCGGTGCTGATCTAGAGTGCTTTCCATCTCAGAAATGATGTCTCCCGTCTCATGTCCTAGTTATGACTCTAGGTAATTAACTGCTTTGTTGTTGTTGTTGTTTTTTCTTCTGCAACACCATCACATCAGTCTTGGCTACCTGCAATCAAAGGTCACCTCATAGCATCAATTTTCACTGTCATGGATGGCTTACCACTTAGCAAAAAACACCTAATCTGCTCAGCAGCAGTGAGGTCCCACTTGAAAATTCACATCTCCTTAACAATTTTCCATCCTCAATGTATGTGATAAATCACAGAGATGGGTGATTCTATCCTTGTTATAGGCCACTTATTTTTTTCCATCTTTCCATGTCTCCTAAGCTCCTTTGAAGGTGTTAATTGGATCTTTCTTCCTTTTCTCTCCAAACAAAGACCACGGCATCTTCAGTTTTACTGTATTGGGCATTCTGGGCTTATGACCACAAAGAGTACAGAGACAGGAGAAAAGAAAGGAATCTAAATAGTGTTTCAGTTTCAAGGTCCAATTAAAGCTCCATTGGGTAGAATGGTACTAATTCAGAAATTTGCAATAACTCATTCTGGCCAAAATCGAAGTTTACATTTGATGAAATTAATAGGGCTTGGAAACATTAATAAAAAAGAACAAAGAGAGGAGTAAAACCTCAAAAGTACTGTTTTAGTCTATAGCTGAAGAATTATTATTGGCGTGCAGGTATTTATTGTCTATTAAAACTGCTCCATTTGCTAAAAGAAGAAAGCTTGCCTGGGCCTTTTGTTTGGGTTATTTGGAATTACAGTACTATTCAAGTAAATACTTCTATTCTGCTTCAAAAGCTGTAACTTGAATTTTTCACTGTATGGCCTAGCTCCTGCATGGCCTGAATTAATCACATTTAGTTAACTGAGATTTCATGTATTCTTCTAGAAGCCTCAAAAGATGAGCTAGGGGGTCTTCTGAAGGGCTAGCCCAGTCTTTCTACAAAAAGGCTAACTTACCTGCAACTACAACTGCCATCTGAATTGGTCTTTGCCATGCCCTCTGTTTGCTTAGTCTAGCCCTACACCCTAAGAGATAGTGACAGTATTGTCTGACTTGTTTTGGTTGCTTTAATCGGCTTTCAGTGTCAGACAATAGGAGGGTCATCCAGACACGGTCTGCAGGAAACAAACAAAAACCCTCCAGAAACTGCGGCACCTGCGTCTCTGCAGTGTGCCCCTGTCCGCGTTGGCCTTCAGAGCCTCAGTGGACCTGCTGGTGGAATGGAAGACCAGCTAAGACAACAGAAAGCTATTTCCTACCCCTTGGGACTTCAGGCTGAGGAGGGGCTCACACCCTCACCTGCCGAACCTGAAGGCCTGAAGTCACAAGCGTATCCTCTGGCTGTTTTCTCTAAGAATTTTAGCAGTGCTGGCCAAGATGAAAAACCTCCTTCTCCACAGTGAAATTCAGCCATTGTTTTCTTGCCCTCTCCCCCCTCCCCTTCCGCTGCAGTAATGGGAGGCTGTTCTCTTTCTTCTGCTTCAGAGATTAGTGATAGGCCCATTTTCCTTTGCAAGCTTACCACCCCCTAAGAGGCAGAGGAAAGCCCCATTAAAGTGACATTTTCCCTGCCCAGAATGCTGACAGGCTATTCAAGGATAGAAAGCTTATTACAGTTTTGAAAGGGTAAAGAATGATTCAAGGTGACATAGTAAGTACACAATGATATATGAGATTGTCCAAATCAGGCGACAGGAGAAATTATGAAGAGCTAGGGCCATTGTCTTCAAAAGCCAAATGTAGCCACCCTCTATAGCTGAACCCTTTTCCATTTCTGACCCAGGGTGAATCTGGTTCCTGCATAGCTGCTCTACCACCATTAGAGGCCCTGTTCTCCCAAAGATGCGTAAGGATATTTTTGCAGGATACTGGAGGCCCTGGCCCTGTACTCTGGTCAGTCTTGGAAAGCCGGAGCTTTCCTTGAAAGACCTTGCAGAACAATCAAGCTCACCATTAGTTAATGCTCCCCAGGGAGAAGAGCCAAGTCTGCCCTCTTCTCTCTAGTATGAGATTGGAATACAACCTAATGAAATAGCAAAAAGGGGTTGGCCCCTTGGAGATTGGGCGTGCAACTGGCTGCTTATAAATCTATGGCTTGATAGATTTATCTCTGAAACTAGAATCCAAGAAGAAACTACATTTGTTCCTGTTTTTCCTTTTAACTCTTCCATGTGTTTTTAGTTTTGTTTTTGCCCCTCCCTGCCTCATTGTATTGCTGTCACCAAGGCCACCTTGATAGCTCCTCTACAAAAATAAATTTAAACTTGCAGTTCCTAAACCCATTGATCCACCAAGGTCACTTAGGGGCTTAACAAAAAGATTCTCAGGCCTACGCCCAAAGATTTGGATTCAGTGGTTCACAGGTGCGGCCCAGGAATATGCATTTTCAGTAAAAGCCCTGCACCGTCTTGTCCTTGGGCTGATTTGGCAGTGCACTAACCTAAACCACACTCCACAATATAAACCAGCTCATAGAATGCAAGATTTCAAAGTATGATAGGGAAAGAGAAAGGAAGCAAGCAAGCAAGCCAAGACAGGAGGGAGAAGAAGGCATATGGGCAGTCCACCTATAAAAATCCTCTCTCCTCGCCCAGTAATTCTGGAGGGGCTCTTTCACCCAGACTGTGCTGCTGCACTCACTACTACTGCTCACCTGGCTGAGGGCTCCCAAAAGTGATGAAATCCATAGCACTATTTGTGGTTCCTTTCCTCCACTGCAGATGTGTGTGTGGCGTGGTCTTTCTCTTATTCCAGGCCCTGCATCCTTCCAGCCCTTGGGAAGATGCTCAGCACATGTTTTAGCTACTACTCCAGGAGAGACCTCAGCTGGAACTGGGAGTGCCTCTGCCATTCCCTCAGGCTAAGCCAACAGCGGCTGCGTGGTTGGGGGAGGGGGTAGACTGCAGCACTCGGCTCAGATTTCCAGCTGGAGGCCATCTTTGGCAGGGCTTTTGAAGGGCAATGCAAGACAGTCTGGTGTGGGCTGAAGACAGCATAAACAAAGGGACTAGATGTTGAAGAGCAATGATCAGCAGTCAGCCCAGTTCCTTCTGAAAGGAGCAGAGTCATGCTTTTTGTCTACTCCGATCCATAAAATAGACATGTGAAATGTGTAACATAAAAATTCAAGAAAATCTCTATCTAGAACTCAGCTCCCAACAACCTTTTATTCAGCAAACACAGCTCTGAAACAAAAATGTTGTTTTTAGAAAGGACCTTATTAATCTGCTGATGAGACAAAACGTCCATGTTCAAATCACATATTGGGAAGCTGACCACTCTGATGATCCTAACTTACTCATTCTTACTTTTCATGATTCTAAAGGACATTGTCTTTTGAATTTGAAGCATGGTGCAAGATAGAGAAGAGGGACCAATGGAGTCAGCCATCATGGAGAAAGAGTAGCTTAGTTCAACTTTCAGAACAAAGAAAACCAATAAATAGCAAGCACTAATTCAAACACTGCTCTTTGGGGCCATTTAGGGTAGAAATAAATAATCTGATATACCTCAGTTGACAAAAGACATCATAGAATTATAGAAAAATAATTGCTCATTATCATAACCTGTAGTTGCTAAGAAAGGCTACATTATGTTTATATCCTCATTAAGAACGGTACCTTCCCCATGGGGCACCTGGCTGGCTCAGTCGGAGGAGCATGCTACTCTTGATCTCGTGGTCCTGAGTTTGAGTCCCATGTTGGGTGCAGACAGTACTTTAATAAAAAAATATTTTTAAAAATGGTACAAACTCCTTTAAAAAGGCTTTTTTCCCCAAAAATCATTATTTTAAGAAAATCTGGTGCTTTAAGGAATATGCCTTCAACTATCTAATATTAACGTCTTATTATACATTGTTTTCCTTGGTAATCCAGGAGGTTGCAGGGAGGCCTCATGATTAATTCATCCATGTGATTAAAAAGGGTGTAGACTCGCATGGTATGATACTAACAATAATTTATTGACCAATTTTTACGTGACAAGTGCTGTTTTAATACCCGTTACCTAATTTAACAGATAATCGACTCATATAACAATGTGAGGTGCTTAATTTGAAATCCCAACTTGAGGATCTCAGAACATCTCAGAAAAGAATATTATAATTTTCCATATATAGAAATGGGAACTTTGAAGAGACTAAAATATAGAAAACTGACTGGGGCGTGTTGGATATTTGAGGCAGGGCAAGAAATGCAACCCCAGGGCGCCTGGGTGGCTCTCAGTGGGTTAAAGCCTCTGCCTTCGGCTCAGGTCATGATCCCAGGGTCCTGGGATCGAGCCCCACATCAGGCTCTCTGTTCCACGGGGAGCCTGCTTCCTCCTCTCTCTCTCTGCCTGCCTCTCTACCTACTTGTGATCTCTGTCTGTCAAATAAATAAATAAAATATTTTTTAAAGAAAAGAAAAGAAATGCAACCCCAAGATCCTGATGAAATCCTCCTCTTTTCCTCAGATTTCATTTCTCCTGTCCTTTGCCTACTGAGAGGTCTTCCTCCCTCTCCCCTTTCCCACAGTAACATCGCTTCTCTTACCCCCAGTGCATCACTAGCAGACTTGCCTGTAGGTTAGTTTAACCTCAACTAACAACCATCAAGTAAAATGTTTGGTAAAAATCATTTTAAGCCCTTATGATCTCTTAACACACTTTGGAATATTTCCATCACTGTCCGTATAATATATATTTTCCCCACTGCTTGTCATTCCTTGCTCTGTACCTGTCGGTTAATTGAGTTTCTCCCTTGTGGCATTCCCATCAATATTTAGAGAAGAGGTAGGAGGTATGAATTTTCCTTCTTTCTGCAGATTCTCTTGATTTGGAAGTTTGCACCTCCCAATGTTACCAGCCCTGCTTTCCACCATCACCTCGTCATCCCCACACAGGAAGTTACAAGGATCCCTCACCACTTACTTCTTGAGGTTTCTGATGTTTATCTGCATCACTGTTTCACAAAAGTTACTCTGAATTGCTGTGTTCTTCATGTCGACAAAGTTGCAACTGAATTATATGGGTTATTTGCTCACATCTTTTCAGGGCAGAGGAAAAGAGGCGCTGGTGTAGCACGGTTCATTCATTTAACGATGACTCACAGGCCATCTACAATGTGCATTGTGCTAGGCTCTGGGCTTTCAGTGGTGAACCATACAGAATCAGCCCCCATTTCCACACCGAGTACATTCTAGAGCAGTCGTTCTCTGATAGGAATGACTTGCCTTCCAGGGGACATTTAGCAGTGTCTGGGGACATTGTTGATTATCACAACCAGGAGGGAGAGTACGTGCTAAACACCCTCCAATTCACAGGACAGCCCCCCTCAGCAGAGAATGATCCAGCCCCAAATGTCAACAGTGCCTAGGTGGAAAAACCATGAAATAGAGGAAGGTGACAGAAAATAAATTAGTAAAGTAATAAATAAGTGAAAGAATTTCAGATAATGATAAAGCAGAGCGGCCAGTTCAAGTATGTGCTTTCTTTTAATTTGTCCTCCCGCTGGAGGTGCCTTTTTCTCATTTGTATGAAGCCCCTTCCCATGCTAGCCACTGCCCGGGCTTGAGGTAAATTAGGCTGCTTAATTTGGACACAAAGGAAGACTGACTAGAGGGCATTTGAACTGAATCTTCAGTGACTGAGAGTTGGCCACGGAAGACCCACTACAGAACATTCCAAACATACGAAACAGCTAGCTTAAAGGGGGGCCTGGAGCAGAAGTGAATTTAGCATAAGGAGTAAAAGAGAAAGCCCAGGTCGCTGAAACCCTTTGAGCCAGGGGAATAGTACAGGCCATGCTGAGAAGTTGGGACTTAATTGTAAAGCTGTTAGAAGGTTTCAGACCCCGTGAGCGACTAGATCTGCTGTGTTTTCGAAAGACCCTTTGGGGGCGCCTGGGCCGCTCATTTAGTTAAGCAGCGGATTCCTGGTTTTAGCTCAGGTTGTGATCTCATGGGTCATGGAATCAAGCCCAGAGCTGGGCTCTGCTCAGTGGGGAGCCTGCTTGAAGATTCTCTCCCGCTGCACCCCCCACCCCCACACCAAGTGTGCACACATGCGCGCTCTCTCTCTCACACGCTCTCTCAAATAAATAAATATTAAAAAATAATAATAAAGCTTAAAAGACTGCTCAAGGATCAAAGATTAAAGTTATTTTTTGGGTACCCAGGTGGCACAGTCAGTTAAGCCTCCGACTTTTGGTTTCTGCTTAGGTGGTGAGCTCAGCCAGGGTCATGTGACTGGGTTCCGCGGGGAGTCTGCTTTGAGTTTCTCTCTCCTTCTCCCCTCCCTTTCCTGCTTGTGCTCTCTTTCTCTCTCAAATAAATAAAATTTAAAGAAAAAAATTTTAAGCTGGGGCGCCTGGGTGGCTCAGTGGGTTAAAGCCTCTGCCTTCAGCTCGGGTCATGATCCCAAGGTCCTGGGTTCGAGCCCCGCCATCGGGCTTTCTGCTCAGCGGGGAGCCTGCTTCCTCCTCTCTCTCTCTCTCTCTGCCTGCCTCTCTGCCTGCTTGTGATCTCTGTCAAATAAATAAATAAAATCTTTAATAAAAAAAAATATTTTTAAGCTATTTTTCTACTGGGCTTGTACCCGAAAGAATTTGGAGCAAAACTATTATATGGACCTAGTTTCTTTTTTATTTATTTTCAAAGATTTTATATATTTGGGAGAGAGAAACGGCAAGCTCAAGTGGCGGGGAGGGGCAGTTGGAGCAGATCCCAAGCAGACTCTGCATTGAGTGCAGAGCCCAGTCCAGGGGTAGACTTAACCACACCGAGATCATGACCTGAGCGGAAATCGAGAGCTGGCTGCCCAACTGACTGAGCCCACCCAAGTGCCCCCTAGTTTCTTTCTTAAAAGTCTAATTTCAGCCTGCCATTTGGATTTTTTTTAAATTCTGTGGAGTATTTCTGCTTCCTCCTTGCCTGCTGTGTAAAATGCTTTCAGTAAGGTGATCAAGCAGCAGACTTCCAGGAAACCATCCAGACGGATGGAGGCAGAGAAGACTTGCTATCTTCTCTGTGCTTTTTCACAGTTGGAATTTTCTGAGTCTAAACTCCTAACCTGAAGCTTTGGGTTTTGGAAAGGACATACAACAGCTGAATTATTCAGTAGCAATACAATAAGCAAGGGAGGGAGGAGAAGTAAGTTGTGGGTTTTGGGTTTTTTGGGTTTTTTTTTCTAAGTTTTTACTTCAATTCCAGTCAGTTAATATACAGCCTGGTATCAGTTTCAGGTGACTGTTTAACAAGAGAGAGAGAAAATACCTCCCTGGTGTGCATTTGAGAAGCACAAATGCAGTAGAAGTTGCCAACCCTTACCATGTGTCTGAGTCTCCTAGGGACCTTGTGAAACAATGCAGAGGCAGGGACCTCACCCCAGAACGAGCAAATCAGTATCTGGGCCGGGGTACAGGCCTAGATTTTTAATGTGTCATCAGGGTTGAGAATCCTTGTTTTGTGGAAATCTCACTGCATTGCAGCTGATTCAAAGATGCTGGATATGTCACTTTTCAGGATAGCATCGGGCAGCTGGAAAATGACCTGCGGAACACCAAGAGTGAGATGGCGCGCCACCTTCGGGAATACCAGGACTTGCTCAATGTCAAAATGGCTCTTGATATTGAGATAGCCGCTTACAGGTATTTCAAGGGGAATGCTCCCCCAAGCAGATCCAGCCACCTGGGGCAACGCCCCCCAAATAAGTGGATAAGTGGTTTTATAGTCTCTCCAATTTCTGATGGGTGAGAAGGGATGAGGAAAGTCATCTCCGGCCCCTTGCAGGGGAGCTAACTCCTCTGTCCCTCAACTTATTTATATCCCAACTCTACCCTACTAGTCCTGGAGTGGTCCACCTGCCTCTGCTAGGATTGAAGGAGATAATGTGAGTATCCATTTTTAAAGATGCTAACTTAAAAAAAAAAATAGGGCTTACACAACGTAGAACATCCTAACAGGTAAAGTATCCCTCTGAATTTCTTCTCAATGTTCAAGCAAACATTTGCCTTTAAAAAAAGATAATAACAGTAGCTACTATTTTTTGAATGGCTACTATGTTCCAGGCACTATTAGATACTGTATTTAAATGATCTAGGTATCCAGTCATATTATTTCCATTTTGCAGATGAGGAAAATTGAACCACAGACTGACCATGTAACTTGTTCTGAGTCATGGTGCTGGTGAAGGGAAGAGCTCAGCTTCAACCCTGATCTGAGAATTCTTTTTCTTTTACATTATATATACTTCTTCAAAACAAAACTCCAAGAGTATGTGATAGTGTCTTGAGTTTCTGGTTTTAAAGAAAAGATGATAAGCAGTATTAGAAATAAGAAAAAAAGGCATTGGGCCCATTGCTATGATGCTCGTTAGGCTAAGCTGAGAAAAAATCTGGTATCTGAAACAGTTGAATTCACTGGTTTTTGAAGTTGCTGTTTCCCTTTTCTTTGTACTCCTCTACATTGAAAAAAAGTACAAATCTCAAGTTCAGGCTAAATGAGGCATCTCCTTCCTCCTCTGTGGGCTTCTCTCCTCCTTATCCCTATTGCACTTAAGGTTCTAATTAGTAAAATTACTTCTCCTTAGAGCTTGGTAGACTCTAAAGTGCCAAAAATGGGTGTGATGAGGCCAAGGGGAATTGTACAAAAATTCCTTTTTGAATGTATTCATGAATAGGGTAGGTTTCCCTTTGGTAGTGCTTTAAACACAGCTGATGCTAAAGGTGTGTGAGTGTGTGTATGTGTGCACATGCACGTGTGCATGTATGTGCACATATGTGTGCATGTGCTAGATCAACTCCCAAGTCTTTGAACCTTGGAAGACAATATTTATTGGTCTCAACCTCACAAAGAGACTGCAGAGACTTTCAGAATCTTTCTAAAATGAATAGGAGCTGGAGGGTTAAGTTCTTTTTTTTTTTTTTTTTTTAAGTTACAGGTTGACTTCCTAAGACTTTTTCTCTGTTGGATTTACAGGAAACTGCTGGAAGGCGAGGAGACACGTTTTAGCACCAGTGGATTAAGCATTTCAGGGCTGAATCCACCCCCCCAATCCGGCTTATCTGCTCCCACCTAGAATCCTCAGTTCTACAACCTCCAAAGTCTCATCCACTGGGCTGTCTCTTAAGAAAGAGGAAGAGGAGGAGGAGGAGGCTTCTAAGGCAGCCTCTAAGAAAACCTCCCAGATAGGGGAAAGTTTTGAAGAAATACTGGAGGAGACAGTAATATCTACTAAGAAAACCGAGAAATCAATTATAGAAGAAAGCACCACTTCAAGCCAAAAAATATAATTCTGTCGCTTTAAAAAAAAAAAAAAAAGTTAATGCTTAAGAGGGGATAATATGCATTTGACTTGTTAAAGAGCCTATTCCTGAACCAAAACACCTGTCACCACTAGAAAATATCTTCAAGGCTTCAGTCTCCTATCTAGCATTGAACACTCCACTTTCTCTAATAAGACAACCACCCCTTAGGTTGGAGCAAAGTGCAGTCCTAGAGCAAATCACAGAGGAGTTATCTAAGAACTCAGCTTTCTCACCTAAAGCTCAGGCTTCACAGCGTTAGATGATTCAGGTACAGAGGAAGTACAAACTAAGGTGCTAAATCTGTGATCATCGTCATTTGCTGTGAATTGAAATTAAAACTTAGATTCGCTCACCATACCCAGACCTCACCTGGCCCTATAGTCTCATTCTAGGTACCTAAAACATAAGATCACTGCCAAAGATAAACCAATGGTCCACATCCACAGCACTCTGACGAAACTGCTTCACAAGTGATAGGTGTTTGTTTAATAGAAACTTCCTCCCTCCCCTCGAAATTCCATCCTTTTCTTCCATTCAGGAAAAAAAAAAAAAGCTAGTGTAGTATTCTTCCCCCTTAAAAACAGTTAGGTTCTTCTCAAAAGAATTTAACTTACCCCCTTTAGATCTCTTTGTTCAATGGGTAAAATTAGATGCATGTTGACCATTTCTGTGATTCGTGTAGACTTCTCCCTGCCCATTTCACGTCCTTCCAATAATGTAAGTGAAGAAAAATGGCAGTGATGAGTTTTAAGGGTTGTCCCCAACAAATAATGAAAAGAGTCCCTAGATTTTAGGCTTTCAACTTCTTCAAATCCACTTAATTTAGGGAGAAAAAAAGTATGAAGAATGTAGTTGTTCACTTTAACTTTAGAAACACGGTCTTAGTGCCCCAAGCTGTGATTAAGCTGACCTTAAATTTAGTAGTAGAAGCTAGAAGAGGTGAGTATTTGTGTGAATGGAAAAAGTCGAGGTCTCATTGATCTGTGTGAGTTCATTTGTGGTGATCTAGAATTAGCTGTTTCAGGCCCTTACCCTTAGAACACACATAGCCCCTTTCTCACTGTCTCAGTCCTAAAGAGGCCTTGCTTTCACTCTCCTTTGCCTTGTAAGAGTGCTGAGTGTAATTACTTTATCACCAGGACACAATGCTACTGCCCAAAAGTAACAGGAATCGCTTCTGGTCAATCACCACCACCAGCAAACATAAAAATGAAATCCTTCTCTTTTCTAAAAGAGCCCTGCCCCACGGTTTTCCCATTGCTGCATGGCTGGTGGGGTCTCCTTTCCCTGCTGGAGAGGCAGCGACGCTCAGGCTAGAGAAGGGCACACGTGCTCCTACTCGTGTGCAAGAAAGGACACTCTGGAGAGTCCGCTTTTCATCTGCCCGACCGTGTAGCAGCCGCATCACCCCACCTTCCACATGTGCCAAGTTTGATGTAGGGCTAAGTCTGTCCTGCAGTCCCTTCCGCCAGACCTAAGAGTTGCCGTGTCTGTCGCGCACCTTTGCTGCAAGTGCTGTTGTGATAGGGAGTGATGCTGTTACTGAACTTTCTTATCCTAGGACCTGCTTCAGCGGTTCAAGGAACTGGAAAGATACTTTCTCTAACTCGTTTCCCTCACTCCATCCCTGTCTTTACTCCCCACACTTACTGTAACACGTTAGTAAGATAAGAATTAAAAGTCACACGAATCCCACCAACATAATGTGTTCTGTGGTTTTTGTGGCTACAGTAGAGAAAACTGCTGTTTTGGGGGCTCCTGGCTGGCTTAGTTGGGAGAGCATGTGACTCAGTCTCAGGGTCGTGAGTTCAAGCCCCATGTTGGGCTTAGAGCTTACTTAAAAAAGAGAGAGGGATGCCTGGGTGGCTCCGTCAGTTAAGCGTCTGCCTTTAGCTCAAATCATGATCTCGTGGTCCTGGGGTTGAGCTCTGTGATGGGCACCCTGCTCAGTGGGGAGTCTGTTGCTCCCCCTCCCTCTGCCTCTGCCCTTGCCCCTGCTCATGCTCTCTCTCTGTCAAATAAAATCTTTAAGAGAGAGAGAGAAGCAAGCACTGTTCTGGTTCAGTAAGACAGCTGGACCCCAAATAATTTTGGAATTGTATATTCTCTGCTTTTGCATCCGTGTTTACATGGGAAGCCTGGGTGGCTCAGTCGGTTAAGCATCCACATTTACAGTTTTGGTTTTTTTTCCCTTGCCAAGGTTTTGTAGTTCTATAGTCTGCGTGTGTTCACACTGTCTCAAACACATAATGCACTAAGCGGTCAGTTTATGGCAAGGAGTGGAGAAATCAAACAAATGATGCAAGACAATATGTTCTGTGCCTGGATAATGATTCAACTAGCTTAACTTGAACATTTCTGAGAATGAAGTGGCAGAACGCATATGGTAAAAGGTAATTCAAAACAGTATCTTGTCTCTTTTTTTGAAGATGGGTTTATATTTCTGTAGAACCCATATGTTTAATTAGCCCATTGGCAGCAGTAATAGAATTTTCCTCTACTGTAATGATTCTTAACCCTTTATGGATTACAGACCCCTTGTAGAAAGCTATGGACATTTCTCCCAGAAAAATCCACACACAAAGCTTTGTAATATCAAGGGGCTTGGGGCTTCTTGTTGAACCATCTACCTCTGGTGTCCAGAAGTCCATGGACTTCCCAGTTGGGGTCCCCTAATGTCATGTTAGGTTCCGGGATAGAGACTAAATGAGGGGAATACACTGATGTGGGTATGAAGCTGGAGTTTGCTGAATCCTGATGGATACCGTCATTCTCAGTGCATCTGGCTAAGAGTGCTTGAATGCCTTGCAAAGATACATTGATTGTACTGCTTCGGGAAAAGGGATGTTAGTCCCACACCAACAATGAGAGTTTTATAACAATTAAACATCTTTGAGGACCTCTTAAGGAACGATAATAGTCTCATCAATCCATGGGTTTGAAATACAGATATTGGTTGCCACTTCTAAGAATACCATCTCATTAATGGATCCTGGATGCAAAACTGCCAGGCTTTTATTACATTTATATAATTTCTAGCTCTAATTGGCATCTTCTGTTTTCAGTGAGTTGCCACTAATTGCCATGAGCTCATTTATAAAGGATTAAAAGCATCTTAAGGAGTTGATGAATCATTAAATCAGGACAATTTCAGTAACAAGGAAACATAGAATTCAGAATCATAAGGCAGGGAAGGGGAAGGAAGCAACACCATCAGTTAATGACAGAACAGGACACCACAGTGAGTCTGTGCGATTGTGGGGAAGCCTGTCCATAAAGCATGTTAGTGATAACCGATGACGACTTTCAGATTCTTTAGACAATGAGGTTCCCCTGCATCCTGAGACTAATAACAGCTTTAATTTCTTCAGTGCCTGCCTACTATGTGTCAGACACTGTAGTAGGCAGTAAACAGAAGTATCTCACTGAAACCTCACAACCACTCTTTAGGTAGTATTTGTAGACCCATTTTACAAATAAAGATATAGAGCCTGGGGGGCGCCTGGGTGGCTCAGTGGGTTGAGCCTCTGCCTTCGGCTCAGGTCATGATCTCAGGGTCCTGGGATCGAGCCCCGCATTGGGCTCTCTGCTCAGCGGGGAGCCTGCTTCCTCCTCTCTCTCTGCCTGTCTCTCTGCCTACTTGTGATCTCTGTCGAATAAATAAATAAAATATTAAAAAAAAAAATAAAAATAAAAATAAAAGATATAGAGCCTGGGAATGACGAAGTTAAAACCCTTTGTCTAATGTCAGAGAATAAGAGCTGGGATTTGAACCCTTATCTTCGGACTGCAGTGCCTGCTTCTCTTTTCTATATTGCCTCTCTACATAAAAGAAAGTTCTCTCACTCGAGGGAGTAAAAATATTTATTTTTCTCCTCTTTTTCCCCTCTTCCCCACTGGGTTTTACTTACGGTTTTTCTGCCCTAGAAACCTTTGACAACACCAAGTCCCACAGGCAAATTGCAAATTGCAAAAAAAAAAAACAAAAAAAAAAAACCACTTTGCAGACTTCCCGAACCTATTAACTTCCTGCATTGCCATGAGGTCATAACAGCTCAAACCTGGATTCTGAGCCCATCTAACTGAGTCACCTCCTAGTAAAAACAAAATAGAATTGCGTGCCTTTACCTAATTTTTAAAAAGCAGGGTTTTTTTAATATTTTATTTATTTATTTGACAGACAGAGATCACAAGTAGGCAGAGAGGCAGGCAGAGAGAGAGCCAGGGAAACAGGCTCCTTGCTGAGCAGAGAGCCTGATGTGGGGCTCGATCCCAGGACCCTGGGATCATGACCTGAGCCGAAGGCAGAGGCTTTAACCCACTGAGCCACCCAGGTGCCCCTAAAAAGGAGTTTTAAAAAATAATTTTGCAAAGGAACTCTGCAGCTCAGTATCAAAGGGCCTGGAAATTACAGGATGTTGCAGAAGGGACAATTCCTCAGGAGGTAATAAATCCAGGATAGTTAGAATTCATTTTACTGCACTGGCTACAGAAGGGGGCAAGATTTGAGCAACTGTCTAGAAACCAGAGTCCAAATTTTAGCTCCAGACCCGATGCAAGTCACATATAGTCCTGCAGGTAAACTTCTAGAACTTACTTGTGAACGCAATTAGGGAGTCCAGAACCACCATTCATGACTCTAGAGGCAAACATGAAATAGTTTGAAAATGTTTTTTAAAATTCACTGTGGGGTGTCTGAATGAAGCAGTCAGTTGGGCATTTGACTCTTGGTTTTTGCTCAGCTCATGTTCTCAGGGTCTTGAGAATGAGGCCCGTGTTGGGTTCCCCACTCAGTGCTGGTGTCTGCTCGAGTCTCTCTCTCTCTCTCCACCTCTGCCCCCCAACTTGTGTGTGCATGCTCTCTCTCTAAAATAAGTAAATAAATCTAGGGGTGCCTGAGTGGCTCAGTGGTTTAAGCCTCTGCCTTCAGCTCTGGTCATGATCTCAGGGTCCTGGGATCGAGCCCCACATCGGGCTTTCTGCTCTGCAGGGAGCCTGCTTCCTCCTCTCTCTCTGCCTGCCTTTCTGCCTACTTGTGATCTCTGTCTGTCAAATAAATAAATAAAATCTTTAAAAATAAAATAAGTAAATAAATCTTAAAAAAAATTCATTGGAACAGAAAGCAGATTGGCAGTTGCCAGGGCTAAAGAGAGGGGGTGATAGGGGGTAACTCTTCAGGGGGCTTGGGGTTTTATTTTGGACACAATGCCCAGGATTGTGAACACTGCACATGCCACTGAATTGTTCACTTTAAAATGACTAATTTTATAACATGTAAATTTCACCTCAATTTAAAAAATCCACTGATCGAGAATTTATGGAGCAGAAAAATATAATTACAAAGTCTACTATACCTTCTGCTCCAGCTGAGACCGCTATGTACAGCCAAGCTGGTTCAATCTCAGTGAGAAGGAATTCTATTAGGACAACATAAGCCAGATCTAATAAGAGTATTGATCCAAAACGGGACCTAGAGAAAAACACCAGAAATGGCTGGATGTAAACAAAAGAAAGAA